GGCGGGGCCGCAGACGCCGCCAGGGGTCTGCGGAGGGGGGGGGAGTCCAGCGCTGACCCAAGAGAGCCGCTCGGACTTTCGGATGCTTTGTGCGTGTGTCGCTGCCTGTTCCTCTGAGGATAGCCGCCACCTGCACGCGGATCTTCACGCGATCCTCGATGAGCTCTACGGCTCCCTGCCCAGGACCATGTGCACGCTGCTCCTGGCGATCACAAACGGCGCGGACTGGAAGGAGCTCGCGAAGCCGCTCGGGGAGGTGCACCAGATGTCCAGCGGCCTTCGGCCCAGCACGCCACGGGGCCTGGGCCGAGGGTGAGAGGATGAATTGCAGTGAGCGGCTTGAATAAGGAATACTTATTTTTCAAAAGGGGCTCGGTCGTTCCTTAGGCTTGCGTGCGTGCGTTATCTATCGTTCCCTATGCGTTATTGCTTATCTGTTCATCGTTCCCTATGCGTTATTCATTGGAAGAAAGGGGCTTCGTTCCTTATTTATCGTTCCTTAGGTCAGGCCGATGACTGTACGAGAATCTCTGAGGGCCGGCGGTTCTGGAGGATGTCTCGGGCGCCGCGTCATTTTCAGAGGCTTCCGGAACGCTCTGCGCGCTCTGAGAGCGTTCCGGAACGTTTTGGAACGGATTCACATTCGTCTCAGCCCCGTCCGAATCGTGAGAGTTTTTCGGAGGCCTTCTGGAGATCTCGCGCCCCCTTCGAGCTCCCCTTCTCGAAGCTCTCCCGTGCGAGTCCTGGGCAAAAAAAGTTGGGTCGTTTGCGCCGACATTGGCGCGTGAGCTGCCCGCGCAAGGTTGCGCGTAGGCGCCCTCGTCTCCAATGCAGCGTTACGCGCTGACGGCATGCGTAAGCCACCGCGTGAGGTCGTTTTGCCATCTCGCGCAAGGCCCGTTTCTTTCCGTCGCTCACCTGCTCTCCGTGCCCGTCACGTGTGCACCTTAGGCCAGGGGCATGCGATAGCAACGGCGTTCCCGACTGGGCGGAGGAGGGGGAGCAGGAGGAGGAAGAGGAGGAGCAGGAGGAGCAGGAGGAGGAGGAGGAGGAGGAGGAGGAGGAGCAGAAGGAGGAGGAGGAGGAGGAGGAGGTGGGATACGAGGAGGAGGAGGAGGAGGAGGAGGAGGAGGAGGAGGAGGAGGAGGAGGGATAGGAGGAGGAGGTGGGAGCAGGAGGAGGAGGAGGAGGAGGTCCTCATTTGGTCCCCTCGCGCCCCCTCTGCAAGCCGCGCACCGGAGGCCACGCCTGCCCAAGGGCTTCTTCTTCGCGGCTGGCCCAAGGGTTTCTTTACTGCGGCTCCAGGCCCTCGGCAGCCCTCCCTGGGCTGCTGGCCGGTGACCGCCCCGTGGCCGCCTCGTTCAAGCGGTGGCGAAGCGTCCCGGCTCGCCCATAGTCAGGAGCGAAAGAAGGACGTACATGTACATGAATCCACGCTGGTTGCGAGAGCTCGCATTGCACAAATGTCCGTATAACGCGGCCGATCTCGCGAATCGAGGGGCCGTGTTCATGTACATAGCTGGGCGCGTACGTTCTTTGTGGGCTCCCTATATAGCCCTACCAAACAGTGTTCTAAGAACTTATTGTGGTTCCCACGACATGTTCTTCGAACAGTTCTGGTTGGGACTGTCTCGTTTTAACTCCTCGGTTCGATGTTCTAAGAACGTTGTTGTTGCTCTTAGAACATTTTCGAGTTCTGAGAACATTTCGTGGTATGAGTACAGGAATGCCGGGGCGGTCGGTCCCTGCTCAACTCGTGCTCTGGCTGGCGCCTCCTGGGTCTTCGGCCGGTGCCCGCCCGCGGTTGCACCGGGCGGTGGTTCACGCAGAGCCTCCCGGGGAATCGCACGACCCGAGCAAGTTGGAGCACGAACTCGCCGACGTTTTCCGACGAGCGCGCCCTGGACCGTGGCGATCCAGTTTCCGTGAGACGTTTGCAGCGGGAGTTCGAGTCCGATTTCGGATTGCGTCTCGCCATTTTCATGATCTGATGGCCCGTAAGGCCAGCCCGGGTACCCCGCACCCAAGTGCTGCGTCTCCCCGATTCTCATGGGCGGGGCACATATCAGTATCCGCGGCCTCGCGGACCGGGCCCCTGGGCCGCGACCCCGCGGATGCGGGGCGTCTGTTTCGCGGATGCCCCCCACGAAGCGTGTCCGTTCGACCGCGCATCCGCGGGATCGCGCCCCGAAATCCAGACCAGGAGGGCGCGGATACGGATAGGTTCGCCGCTCGTGAGGTTCTCTCTCTTCTCGAAATAAGAACGGACTTTTTTACCACCCTCCCGCGCCCTGTGGCATTTCAATGTACAGGCTGTTCTGCTTGATTGCTCACATCCCATATGAAACGAGGCCATCCTAGCCCAGCTGTTATCGGCACCCTCACCCTTGTCCCAACATTGAATGTGCGCACGCTCGTTTGTCGTGAGATGTATGTTTGCAATGACCCATTTGCAAGGGATGCCATAAAGTCCATTCGCGCGCACATGTCGAAGTCATAACGCACACATGCCATGCAGCTGCTTGCATAGGTTCTGTCTGCTCGCACTCGCTGAAGTCATGGGCGTCTATTTGATGCTAGCAATAATGGAGGATGACGATTGGTAAATGACTGGGGGTCGTGTTCACGCGGCGGCGCCCGGGATGACGATTAGAAAAAACCGGCCGCGGGCTGGAAAACTATTTTTAATCGTTCTCCTCCTGTCAGAAAATTGTGCAGAAACAGCAGAAACCTATTTGTTTAATCGTTCTCTCCCATTTTTTGTATTAATCGTCATCCCGCAATATCGTCCAGAACCCGCATTATCATCTCAACGCGCGTTGCATTCGCGTTGATCTGACTGGCGCCCAGTGCACGAGCCCGCATCAGATAACACCATGCGGGGCCACATGCGCGCGCCGCCACACGCGCGCGTCGCAATTCTGCACCCGTCGTTTTCGAAGCATTGCAAGACACAACTGTTCAAACACGTAGGAGAGACCAATAGTTGCCCAGCAGAGTCTGCCATGGTTCTTGAATGACAGCGCGCGAGCGCACCTCCTCAGCACCCACATCAGCGCCATCGGTGGTCTTCTGTGGGCCTCTTGCGGGCCTCCTTTGGGCCTCTTGGGGGCTTCTTAGGGCCTCTTGGCTCTTGGGGGCCTCTTGGTGGCCTCTCGGGCGGCTCTTGGGTTTCCCCGGCTAGGATTTTCGGTTCGTGTTCCCTCTCTTGGGCCCCTGTTGGGGCCGTCTTGGGGCCCCCTTGGGCCGTCTTGGGGCACTCTTAGGGACACTCTTCGAGGCTTCTTGGGCCGTGTTTGGGGTGGTCCTATGGAACGAACCTTTGGGCCGCCTTGGAGCGTCGGAAAGGCGAAAAGGCGGGAACGCCCAAATCCTTGAAACGTTTGCGGAAAGTCCAGGGTTTCGCCTCTGCGGGCCCTCTTGGGCGGCATCTCGGAGGCCTCTTGGGGCGTCTTGGAGGCCTCGTGGGCTATCTTCAGGCCGTCGTGGGCGCCTTCGAGCGATCGTCCGGCGATCCTGGGCCCTCGTGGACACGTCTTGGGGGCCTTCCGGGGGCGTCGTGGGAGCCTGGGAGAGCCTCGGGGGGGCGCCCATGGCCGCCCGGGGGGACCCCCCCCCCCCCGAGAGAGCGGCGGTGGGGTGCCGTCGGCGGGGCGCTGCCCGCGGAGGGGGGGGGGCCCTTGGAGTCTCACTCGAGGGGCCCCCAGACGGGGCGGTGACCACACCGTGCGGTGAGTCGGTGGGGATTCGGGGTCACCGCACGGTTTCGGGACTCGGGTCGATGTCCGAGGAGGTCTCGGGCGACAGGGGCCTTCGAGGTCCCAAGGCCGGGCGGGGACGGACCGTGCGGTGAGGTCTGGGGGGATTTCGAGGTCACCGCACGGTCCGTCACCGCACCGTTTCGGGACTCCAAAATTACGGTGGGGGCGTTGGTTAAGGAATTTGCCCAGGATGCTTCAGACCCTGGAGGGTTCCTTGTCCGATCCGGGCGGCGGCAACAAGTATGGCCAAGCCTCAGACGGTGCTCCACTGGCTTTCAGACCCTGGACTCCTTTTGCAAGGGTTCCCTTATCCAATGCCCTCACCGTACAGAAACTTTGCCAGGCAGCCCGTGGCATTCTCCCACGCCCCCAAGTTTCGCAGGCACGATGGCGGATCATCCAGATGCGGCACTACTCGCAGCACTGCTCGTAGCAGCTGCAGCGCCAGTACAAACAGCCGTGTTACGAATGCGATAATATTAGTAGCATTACATGGCAGTCGTAGGCGTAGTAACCGCCGCCGTCGTCGTATTGTTAGAAGCTGAAGCAATGGTACCCGTAGTATGACGAGTTGTCGTTGTAGCGGTATTCGTGGTAGTTGTAGTATCCGTAGTCGTAATTATAGTAATCGGACATGTGCTGGTCGTACTAGAAGTTGGGTTACGGGTCATGCTCTCGTGGGCCCGAGTGTAATTTTCATGATGTGCTGGCATTGTAGCGGCATGCTTGTGCCCGCATTGACAGTTCCAGATGTACTATTCGATGTTTCGGGGTCCCTCATGGTTCCTCACGATTCCACGTTGTTCCCGAGGATTCCAGATACCACAGGTTTACCAGAGGAACAGTATAGGAATGTTGCGAGACGGTTATAGGGGTGCCAAACGACCACTATAAGACACCGAGTGGGGTGTTCGGGGGATGCTATAGGAACGCTCCATGAGATACACAGATGGGACTCGTAGAAGTGTTACAGGTCCGTGCATGAAGACTCCTACAACTATATCCAGGTGTATGATATGTATATATGTATATATAGAGAGAGACACACACACACGTATACATAGTTAATTCCCCAAAAGGTGTTTGCACTTGGGAGCTCTTGCTTCATTGTCATGAGTTGTCATGAGGAGCTGGGGAGCCCTGTCTGGCTGTCTGGCGGCCCCGTGGTCGCCGTCGCCGCCCCGTCGCCGCCTCGACGACGCCCGTCGTCTGGGCTTGTCCGGCAGGTCTGGCGGCTCCATGGTCGCCATCGCGGCCCTGTCGCTGCCTCTTCGCAGCCCCTCGCGTGGGCCTGCGTGGCGGTCTGGCGGCTCCGTGGTCGCCGTCGCCGCCGTGTCGCCGCCTCGTCGCCGCCCGTCGTTTGGGCTCGTATGTCGGGTCCGCCGCCATGTTTTCTCGCCGTCGCCGCCCCTTCGCCTCCTCGTAGCTCAACATAGATCGCACATCAAATATTGCACACCGCAGATGCCACACCATCGATTCTTGTTTTCGAAAAAGAGATAGGTTCTACCATCCTCCCGCCCGGACTTATCGATTCCCCGGGAACCTATGCAAAACACATACTGTACGGTTCTGACCCAATGTCCATCCTACCTGTGAATTAATACTATGCCAGCCAGGCCGATATCGGTCCCCCCTCTCCCTTACAACAAATACTATACGGCGACATTTCTTGTTCTAGCATAACACTTTTTCGCGAATCCCTGGTAAAACATACAATGCGGGACACACGCGCGCGGCCGCTGCGCGCGCATGTCGGAATCCTTTCAAACACATTGTGTTTTCAACAATTTCAGCATCCCGCTTCAAGAAAGCCTATGAACACATACGACTTCCCCATCCAAAAAATCAGAACAATTTGCCCGCGCGCTCTTGCCGAATCCTTCAAAACCAATGGTTTTTCAACATTCCTGTCAAATCGAGCTTCTTGCGCAACTTTTGCGCGCACGTCGATCTCATTCAACAACGGTCGCGCGCCTGCCAGGGCCACAATCCCTTGCAAACCATGCGGGGCACACGCACGCGGACGCCGCGCGCGCAGGTCGAAATCCTTCCAAACACGTTGTGGTTTCAACAACTTCAAGACTGAGATTCATGAAATCACACGAATCGTCGTCGGCGTCGGCGGCGTCGGCGTCGACGTCGTCGACGTCGTCATCGTCGCCATCGTCGTCGTCGGCGTCGGCGACGTCGCCGAAGTCGTCGTCGTCGGTGTCGTCGTAGCCGGCGTCGTCGTCGTCATCGTCGTCGTCGTTGTCGCTGTCGTCGTCGGCGTCGGAGTCGCTGCCAAGCGCCATTTGGTACCTACCGTCACGGTCTTAGGAGGTCTTGCGACCAAGTTGCGGGTGTGAGGGTGGGATGTTTGCACGGGCAGTGGAGAGGACAGCTTGAAGACAGTCAAAGTGAGTTGCACCAGGTAGCTTGCACCACCACATTGACTGCTCCACGTAGACGACACAACATAGTTTGCACCACGAATGTTGCAGAACATAGATTGCACCACGTAGATTGTACAATCTAGATGGCGCCATAGAGAATGCAGCACATTGATTCCCTTGTTTTAAAACAAAAAACATAGGATCTACCCCCCCCCGAGGACTGGCCGAGCCATTTTTCTGCAGTGTAATGTACATGCAATTCTGCCCCATCGTCCATCCTAAACATGAAACCGTACCATCCCAGGCAGGCCAGTATCGCGCCCCCCCTCATCTTCCGACAAGAAAAACTATGCACGTGCATTCGTATATCTAGACCATCAGTTGTCAAGAACCCCTTGCAAGCAATTTGACGGACGAAGGGCGCGCGCGCGTCGGCTCGCGCGCATGCCGAAATTGCTCATCAACCAATGGTTTCGCAAGGATTTCAAAAGCGAGCGCCCCGAAATCATATCAAAACACATGGTGGGTCAACAGTTTTCGGAACCAATACTGCGTTCGCGGTCTTGTGGACTCTTAAGAATGTCATTCGTTTGTCTACATGTACATCACATTCTGTCAAAAGGGCCCCTCGCCCTTGCGCGCGTGCTGGGGGGGGGGGCGCGATCCGTGTCAAAGAATGCCAGGCGGGCCACTCGCGCGCGACGGCCGCGCGCGCATGTCGAATTCCTTAAACAGTTCCATCGCCAACGCGAAGACATCAACATCTTATCGGCGGGTGTGATCAACATTGGTGCCGTCATTGGCTTTGCCGTCGTCATCGCCACCATCGTCACCATCTTCGCTATTGTCATGATCGTGTCTACCGTTGTCGGCGTCGCCATGGTACTGCGCTTGCCCAAGTCACCGGCTCGCACTGAAGTGCCCGCTGGGAACTGCCCAGCAGTCAGCGCCACCGCGGCCGCGTCGGTCGCGCCAGTTGGCCGTTTCATGTGTTCGCGCATGCGCGGGCTAGTGCGGCCGTAGAAATGTACCAGCCAACGGCAAGCACTCATCGCAATCGTGGCCGCGTGGGTTTTGCAAATCAAGTTGCGGGTCGGTGGGTGGGTGGGATGACTGCGCGAGCAGTGGAACTGACAACGCCAAGTTTGTCCTCATCAGTTGCGCAACACAGGTTGCAACAAGTCTGTTGCACTCCAACGATTGCGCACAATTCGTTGCACATCATACGCTGCACCACACAAGTTGCACCACAGAGCTGCGCGTGCACATAGCACCATCCGAATTGCACCACCGATTGCACCAGTCAGTTCGCACAACGTAGGTTGGACCACATAGATGGCACAACGCTGGTTGCACACCATCGCTTAAATTACGTGTTGCACCATACATTGCCCCACAAGGGGTGCGCAAGGTAAGTTGCACAACGTATATTGCACACCATATAATGCACATCGTACGGTGCATCACGTAGGTTGCATCACATCGATAGAAAAATAGTGGTATAGCAAGCTTCTGAGGGCTTGTGTTGGCCAGCGAATCTATTAAAGAGATGCTTTGGCCCATGCAGTTTGCAACAAATTCTTGACGCTCCGCGTATCCCCACCAGCCCCCGTTCCGCTACACGGCGCCGTCGCCCTGGAGGACGGTTTCCTGTACAAGTGGTGCATCTTTTGGCAGGACCGAGCCTCTGATTGGCAGGCGTCTTCGGTTATCGGCGTTGCCAGCGACATCTGCTTCTTCCTCTGGTAGAAGTTCACGCTCGCGGGCGCCATCGACGTCTTGCCCTTCTGCGATGATCAGGTGGTGCACTCCTGCCCGCAGTGTCCCCCCTGGCGGGGCTCTGAACACTGGTGGCTGTGACGTGGCCCCCACGCGGCGCTCATCCCTGTCTTCGGTGGTGGTGGTTGCTTCTCGGGATTCACGAGTTGTCCACCGTCGATTGGTTCAGTGACGGCCCGCCTTCGAGTACTTGGTGTTCCGTGAGTGAGGCGTTTTTCTTTCCCCTCCTCTCCCCTTCTTCCTGTCGTGTCTTCGCCCGGCTTTCGGGTGCTGGCGCCACCTGCGTCGCCACGTGCGGCCGGCTCTCGACAGTGGCCGCTTGGCACCTCATTGGCCCGGCGCCTTCGTCTGCCCGTTTTCCCAAATTTTTTCTGCATGCTTGCATGTGCGGTCGGCTGTCGACAGTGACAACTGGGTTCGCAAATTTTCTGGCTCTGTACCCCAGTCAGCCCGATCGACACGCCCTCTGGACTCTTCCTTGTGGGCCGCAGGTCGAAAAAGTACCCCCGGCAGCTGCCACAGCCTGGCCGTGTTTGCAGCTGCCGCCGTGCAGTGGTGGGTTCACTTCCACGTGGATTGTTCATCAGTGGTTTAGCCGCTAGTTTAGCCTTCTTGTTCAACCACCTGAGGTCGCCACGGTTGGCATGCGACACAGGTTCGCTGGGCTGCTTGCTCAGCCCCACGCTTTGCTGTGCTTAGCTCGGGTGGCTCGTCTACCTCTGGCGCCTGGCGCGTGCAATTCGTTTGCCTTCCCGGTGGCCTCGCCCCTGGAATGGTTGGTTGCACTTCAGCCGCCTGGCACACCTGGCACCTCTTGCAGCTCTGCCTCAGTCCCCGTCGTCGTTTCTCGGCGTCCCTCGGCGGCAATGTCGGCGGCCGTTACTTCGCGAGCTTCGGTAATTAGGTTTGGCTCGTAGCCCGGGCTGGCTTCGGACGCCGTCTGCGCTTCCGCTTGCGGCCGCGACGAAAAAAATCCCACCAACCCATCCAGAACGATTTCCATGTGAGTCGATGAGTTTCGAAACCTGGAATCATGTTGGGGCTCTCTTCTGGTTCTCTTGGGGCCCTCCTGGGGCTCTTTCTTGGGGCTCTCTTGAGGTCCTATTCGGGCCTTGTTGGGGCCCTCTTGGGGCTCTGTTGGGGCGTTTTGGGGCCCTCTTGGGGCTCTTTTGGGGGGTCTGGGAGGCCTCGTGGGCCCGTCTTAGGCCGCGTAGATCAAAAAGAGGGGGTTGTGACATTTGGGTCGCCCCCGTCGGAGGTTACACAATGCCGTCTTGGGCCCATATTGGGCCGCTCTTGGAGCGTTTTTGGGCGATCTTGCGGCCTTCTTGGGGCCCTCTTGCGCGTCTCTCGGGGCTTTTTTGGGCCATTTTGGGGCCTTCTTGAGGCCTCAAGAGCGCATCGGAAGCGAAAAGGCGCCAAGGCAAAACACATTGGTTTTCCGGAGGTTGTGGATCCATTTGGGCCTCTTGGGGAGTGCCGTGGAGGTTTCTGAGGGCACTTGAAACCGTCTTGGAGCCGTCTAGGAACATTTTTTCGGATGCGTGTCGGAGGCTATCTTAAACCAACTTGAGGTATGTTGGGCCATTTTGGAGGCCATCTTGGGCTCTCTCAGGAACTCTTGGAGCCATTTTGAGCCTAGAAGGACCCTCTGACACCTCGCGGCCCTCCCCGTCCCGACGCCGGGAGGGTGGGGAGGTAGACCTCCCCCTGAGCAGGGAAAAGTTGGAAAACGAAGCGCGCTGGACCACCTCCGCCCCGAGGGCTGGTGGGTGGTTGCCCACTGCACATCGTGCACCGTGTCGAGTGCACCTGAGGAATCCCACCAGCCCTCTGGGCGCAGGTGGTCCAGAGCGTTTCCTTTTACAACCTCCTGCCTTTCCTTGCTCGGGAGGTTTACCTCCCCCCCTCCCTGCGTCTGGACGGGCTCCCCCGCGATGTGTGAGAGGGTCCTTTTTGGTCCAAGATGGCTCCAAGAGGGCTTCAGAGAACGCAAGATGGCCTCCAAGATGGTCGAAGATAGCGGTAGATGGGTCAAGGTAGCCTCCGACACAAGTTCAAGAGGCCTCACGACGGCTCCAAGACGGTTCCAAGTGCCCTCCGAGGCCTCCAAGGACCCCCCCAACAAAAAAGGCCAACATCATGCAAAAACCCAGAAGGAATCCATGTGTTTTTGTTTTCTCGCTTTTTCGCCTCCGATGGGCTCTTGAGACCTCATGA